ACCATTGCCATCGCTGCTAACAATGTTGACAAGATAGAGAAAGAAGGACCAATGAGACTCTACGTTCGTGAAATTGATTGTAATGATGACTGTAGTGAAATGGGAGTCACATTTTATGTCAAGTAAGCAAATTGTCAACTGTGTAAATTAAGCAGACTCTGTATGCATTCCTCAGCCTTTATGTTGTTAAGATTACAGGGGAATATTTTGTTTCTCGTCATGAAACTGAAGGTGTCACCTTTAGCAATGTGATTATCTTATTTCATGATGGGTCAGCTCTGAACACCACATAGAAGTTTGGCACTGTATCCAATTCCATGTGCTTTTTCTTACAAGGCCTTGTAGTTGGAAGTGTGTAGTTGAATTTTATGCTCTAATATCACATGCGGGAACACAAAGGTTACAATTTCTAGTAAGTCAGTAGGATTGTGTCAGCATTTTGGGTCAAAGCTGTGCATGTTATGTTATTCAGTCGATGATGTCATGAAATAGTCTTCCACAAACAGTTCAGATAAATCTAATTTGGGATTCCCTTTCTCTGTAGCGCTAGTCTCAAAGATTCTCTCTGTGACAATTGGATGACTATGTTCAATGGAAGATGCATAACACCATAAGACCTAAAAATGCTTAGAAGTAAATCTATGTTATAGTCACAATTGTGTGTTTTAGGTTACCAATGAAAGTATACCAATGCAAAGTTACCAATGCAAAATAACTGTGTATATATTATTGTTGGACTAGCACAAGAGAATTAGCATATTTGAAATCATACTCACTGTATAGTGAAGTTTGGATGAGGAAGACATGAGAGCCTTCCTAGCTTTAGGCAAAATGAGTAGAAATAAAGGATGTCATCTGTATGATTAAAATATGTTGATACTTTCTAAATAAGGATCAGGAAAAGTGAACTAAGCATAGATGTTTTGGTCCTGGCCCTGTAAAGACTTCATAGATCCTATTAGCCCTCAATTTCATTATATCAATTGAACGTCTTTAATATAAATTCAAAGATTATAAAGAACAAACTATGGTTTATCTGTTTGATTTTTAGTGCAAATAACCAATGCTCAAAGACTAAAGTCATTGGGTACAGACAAGCAGATGGTACATACCGAACACAGTGTAAGTATGGGATCTGGAAGCTTCCTCTCTGAACAAAGGCAATGTGGGTGTGCACATTAACATTGATACTTCAGCCACCCATAGGTACATGGATGTAGAACAATTTTTGCTACTTGGAAGGGTATCATTCCTTCCAATACTCTGACATATGCATCAAAGTCAGATTACATTGGAGGTTATCTGATGTTTACATGGAGAAGAACACTATTACAGAAAGATGTGAATAATTCTAGCAAAATGTCTCCAAATAGTTTCCCTGCATGAAAATTTCATTACCAGTTAGTATTCAGGATGTTTTCTTTCATTCAGTGTCTCTGTTTGTTACTGGACAAGTCCACCACTCACTAATAGGTCCCCGTGTCCTGAACATCTTTGCAAACTTCTTGCCTCATGTTCTCAAGTATTTGTATTACAGATATTATCTGTCACCCTTGATTTGTGAAAATTCAAATGAACAGTGCCATTTCAAAGATTATTTTTCTCACATTGTATAGAGATCACAACAATTTGATCCTCAGATGATTAACTTCAATTTTGAAAAGCAGTTCATTGAAAATCTGTTTAAGAATTTCAGACTGAATACTTCAATTTTGTAAGAATGGCAAAAAAAAACCCACAACACTACTGTAATGAATTATACACAGTTTGGCATTGGCTTAATTTAAATGAACAGAGGACACATTCTTGTGGCAAGTCTCATACTCTCCTAAATTTACATGGATATTAAAAGCAATTCTGTAGTATTAAATGACCACATCCTATAAATCCTTTTATTTTCATGTTAATCACGTTTATATTTAATAATTGTCAGTGAGTCCAAATACCACATGCACGCATACATTCACACGCAGATGTGCACACACACACACACACACACACACACACACACACACACACACCCCTTACCTGGGCATACACAGCATACACTGACAGACCAACACATGCATACAATATGAATGTCTGTCAAATTAAAAATGTTTAACCTTACAAGTATTCATCAACAATCTTACACAATGATAAATTTTGTGCATATTATTAATTAGTACAGTCTTTCCTTGCAATGTGTACTTTTGCTTACTGTGTATATCCGTGGTATGACACCAGATATTTACACTTTCAGGACAAGTGGCCTTTGGGACCTGGTTGATAGGGGAAAGAATACCCAACAGATTTGTCCCAAAGTCTTGACTCAACGAATTCAAAGAAATGGGAAATTACCTGTACTTAGGATTCAATATCAGAGTTGAAGAGCAGAAATGACTGGTCACAGTATTATGATGGGATATACAAAGTGAAGGAGTCCAGGAATTGCTTTGTACACATGTGTCATATGATAATGGATAAAAGATGATTGCTAGAGAAAGGGTCAAAGTTAATATTAGGAAACGAGGTAGAACAATCAGTGACACTGAGTTTTGAAATATTTCTATTATTACAGTTGAAGGTGACAATACATTTAAACCTGTACATGCAACACCAGAGAACATTGTGTTTGTCTCCGATAATGTGGATCGAGCCGGCCAGAAAACAAAGTTGATTTATGTTGTTGGTAAGAATGGGAGTGGATCCTCTGCAATAGTAGCAAAAGTATCACTCTGCAAATGAAGATGAAGTCAGATTCACACCATCCCCTCCAAATCAGTGTTATGGGAGTTCCAAAATCCTGTCCACTAAATGACCATCCTATTTTTGTGTGGACCAGCTCTCACATTATATTGTAAATCCAGTAGGATGGTCATTGAAGACTAGGGGCAACCTGGGGAGGCTATTGGAAGAGTGTATGTTCATGATTCCTCAATGGAAAGAGTAGAGCAAATATTATTTTCCCAAAGTTCAGACCATTTTGAGCATTATTTGATCAAGTGTACACCAAATTAAAACATGAAATTCAGTGTATAGAATCAGGAGAGTTGTGAATTTTACATTGACATGCATAAATAGCTCTTTAGTGTTATGTTTTGGAATGTGGATAGGATTCAGATGAGTTAATTCTCTAGAGAAGTAATTTTTATTTTTGATGCATGGTGAAGGGCCTAGGCCCAGCCCAGGTTCAATAAAAATTAAAAAAGAAGTTATCCATTGTGTACTTGTAAATTTTGAAAATTGTAATTGACTGTTATTACCCACCCAGGGTAGGTGAATTTGGAAAAGTTGGGGTCTTTCAATTGTACCTCACAGTGGGACACTAAGGAAGCAATATAAATTCTTCAGAATTCTACTGACCAACTCTCTGACATTGTCATTAATGCAATACAGGAAAAGGTCAACCTTTGACATCTGAACAACACGAAAAACTTGTGGAATTTGCTCATGAAAAGAACATTCCAGAAGAAAACATTCACAATGTTCTTGCTACAGGTAAACTCAATGAATATGTTTTAGATACATTATTTATAGATATGTATATATGTATATGGATGTATATTTATACATCTATGTATGTCTATATGCACACAGAGCCTATCTATCATCTATCTACCTATTTATCCATCTATCTAGTTAGTCATCTTATCTTTCAGTTTCATTTGTAGCAAGAATCATGGAAAAACTGTTTTTATATTCTTATGATAAAACTTCTGTTACTCCTTACCCTACTCATGTTCTTTTTCAGATACTTGTCCTAAATAAAGACCTTCTGTAGGTGAGTAGAAACAGAAACCATGCCTAACCATCTTGATATTTGAATAGATTTATCCTTCTAACATAAAATTAGAAGTAAGTTTTGACAAAGGATAAAATGAACTCAAAAGTAGGCAATATGAAGACAGAACATTATTTGAGTTTTCATGCTGAAAATGTTACAGTGGTAAAAATGAAGAATAGAAAATTTTTATGTACAAAACAATGTGAAGGACTTTTATTCAGAATTGCTAATATATTTATTTTGAGGAATGTTCCATCAAGAAATGTTTCTATTATTTGGAAAATCTTACTTTACTTATGATTGTGGAATATAATTTGTCACAGATATTGTATAAGCATGTTGAGAGTTTCAATACATTCTTTGAAACCTCTCAATCTACATATTCATGTGGGGACATAGAATGTCATTATTCACTGTTGACTGTGCTCGTATAAAATCCAAAGTACAAAGTGTTGGTGATTTCCAATGAAGGAACTGTCTGTGTATAATCCCTTCTGTATACTCTGTATTGTGATATTTAATTTTTGTTCATGCACTCTCAAGGATGAAGTCTTTCCTGTCTGTTCAACGATGTTTTAATTTTTGCTTTCATATTTGCAAGGTGAGAACAGGATGACAATTATGCATCATATCCTCTTGACCACGGAATCAGTATCACAAGTGAATCATCATTTCCTTCTAAATAAATTGTCCTCTGTCCAGTGAGGCAGAATACCACATACCAAATTCCTGGCTTACCTTTCCTTTCCCATCGAATGATCTATTATTTGCTGTTGTTTCTTTTTTGACTGATTAAATAAAGTGTTTCAAGAAGCAATAAATACCTTGTGAAATGGATCTCTTTCAAAAAACACATGAATATACACTAAGATAATTACAGAAATCACTCTGGTGTAACAAATGATATCCGTATTACTAAAGACTATTGTAATAATTGAAATGTCACAATTACTGGAGAGCCAGGAGTGAGAACACTGTAGAAGTATATTATATGTTGTGTTTCTTATTTACTTTCAGCTGTAAAGAGTGATTTGCAATGAATGTCCCTAACACTCTAAAAGAATTCACATAAGAAACTCCTTGTTCTTCCTGCATGTTCCAGAATATTGAAAAGGGAGGAAGAAATCTGTTTTCAAAATTCCATCTCTGGAGAATATCTTTTGTTAAATGATTTCAGTAAGCAAATCCAGTAGGATATGCTTAAATTGTGCACATGTGAGTCATCTGTGTTTGAAGAATAAACTCATGACAATGATGTTGCATAAATACCAATCCTTACAAACATACACGGACTTATTAAATTTTCCTGTGGATATTACAAACATTTCTTAGAATATAGTTAGCTATGATAAAATTAAAGGCAGTTGCAATCTTCTTTGATGGCTTGGATCAAGGAAAAAAAAGATATTAGTCACTGTTAATACATCTGTTTCCTGAAGTCTGAAGATATAACATATGCTAAGTAAAATTTATATATATATATATATATATATATATATATATATATATATGTATATGCTACAGACATGAATAAGAAACTATGAAATCATGTTTTGGTATAAAATCTGCTACTTAACCTTTCTTTGTGTGCCATGTAAAATAATGTTCCTTTAGAAAAAATACTTGACTAATGTTTTTTTGAAAATTTCATATATTCAATGTACATTTACATCATTTTCTTTTTTTTCAACTTTTTTATTTGAATTAGAAACAGGATTGTTTTACACGACATTCCAAGTTACATTCTTCCTCCTGTCTTCCCAAACCCACCCAAATAAAACCCTATTTATCACATATCCTTTCTGCTCCCCCCTGGATGGTGGTGAGGCCTTCCATAAGGTGTCATCAGAGTCTATTGTATCCTTTGGGATAGGGCCTATGCCCACCCAGTGTGTCTTGGCTCAGGGAGTATTCCTCTATATGCAATGGGATCCCAAAGTCCACACCTATGCCAGGATAAGTACTGAACTATCACAGGAGGTCCTGTAGATTTCTGAGGTTTCCTTTTAGAAACCCATGTTCCTGGGGTCTGGATCAGTCCCATGCTGGTATTCCAGCTATCAGTCTGGGGATCAAGAGTTCCCCGATGTTCACGTCAGCTGTTTCTGTGGGTTTCACCAGCCTGGTCTGGACCCCTTTGCTTTTCACTCGTTCTTCTCTGTGACTGGAACCAGTTCAGTTCAGGGATTAGTTGTGAGTGTCTGCTTCTACTTCCACCAGCTTTTGGATGAAGGCTATAGGATGGCATATAAGACAGTCATCAATCTCAGTATCAGGGGAGGGCATTTAATGTAGACTCCCCTCTGTTGCTTAGATTGTTAGTTGGTGTCATCTTTGTAGCTCTCCAGACCTTTTCCTAGTGCCTGATTTCTCTGTAAACCTAAAGCGTCACCTTCCATTATGGCATCTCCTTTCTTTTTTTCTTCTCTTCTTTCCCTGACTCAACCTTTCTGCTCCCTCATGTCCTCTGCATTCCTCCTCTTCTCCTCTTCTTATTCTCTAGCTCTCTCGCTCCCCGTTCCCGTGTTCCCAATTTGTTCAGGAGATCTTGACCCTTTCCCCTTCTCCAGGGGACCATGTATGTCTCTCTTAGGGTCCTCCTTTTTTAAAAGTTTCTTTGGGAGTTGGATTGTAGACTGGTAATCTTTTCCCCTATGTCTAAAATCTGCATATGAGTGAGTACATACCATGTTTGTCTTTATGTGATTGGGTTACCTCGCTCAGAATGGTTTCTTCTAGTCCCATCCATTTTTCTTCAAATTTCAAGATTCCATTGTTTTTTCTGCGGAGTAGTACTCCATTGTGTAAATGTACCACATTTTCTCTATCCATCCTTTGGTTGAGGAGCATCTAGGCTGCTTCCAGTTTCTGGCTATTACAAATAGTGCTGCTATAAACATGTTTGAACAGATATCCTTGTTGTATGAATGTGCTTCATTTGGGTATATGCCTAAGAGTGGAATTGTTGGATCTTGTGGTTGATTCCCATTTTCTTGAGGAGTTGCCATACTGATTTCCAAAGAGGCTGTACAGGTTGGCAAGCTCACCAGCAGTGGAGTAATGTTCCACGTTCTCCACATCTTCTCCAAAATAAACTGTCATTGGTGTTTTTGATTTTGCCATTCTGACAGGTGTAAGATAGTATTTCAGAGTTGTTTTGATTTGCATATTCCTGATGGCTAAGGATGTTGAACACTTTTTTATGTGTTTTTCAGCATTTTAGATTCCTATATTGAGAATTGCCTATTTTGTTCTGTACCCCACTTTTAATTGGATTATTTAGTGTTTTGGAGTCTAGCTTCTTGAGTTCTTTGTATATTTTGGAGATCATCTCTCTGTCAGATGCAGGGTTGGTGAATATCTGTCCCCAGTCTGTGGGCTGCCATTTTGTCTTGCTGACTGTGTCCTTTGCCTTACAGAAGCTTCTCAGTTTCAGGAGGTCCCATTTATCAAATGTTGATCTCAGTGTCTCTACTATTGGTATAATGTTCAGGAATTGGTCTCCTGTACCAATTAATTCAAGGGTATTTCCCACTTTGTCTTCTAATAGGTTCAGTGTAGCTGGATTTATGTTGATGTCTTTGATCTGTTTTGACTTAACTTTTGTGCACGGCAATAGTCTTGGTTCTAACTGCAGTCTTCTACATGTCCGCAACCAGTTATGCCAGCACCATTTGTTGAAGATGTTCTCTTTGTTCCATTGTATAAATTTGGATTGTTTATCAAAAATCAGGTGTTCATAGGTGTGTGTGTTAATATCTGGGTTTTCATCTCTAATCCATTGGTCTTCCTGTCTATTTTTGTACCAATTCCAAGCTGTTTTCAGGGCTATAACTCTGTAATATAACTTGAAGTCAGGGATGGTGAGTAAAGATAGACAATAGAGATGGACATTGACATCATTTTCTCCCTCATGCTCAAACAAAGTAATTTTATTTCTGTGTGCTCTATCTCTTCTTACAATTTCATTTTACCTCCATTTTTATTAAAATTAAAAACAAGATTGTTTTGCATGTCAACCCCAGTTCCCTCTCCCTCTCCTCCTCCTTTGCCCCCTACTAACACCCTACATTTCCCATACCATTTCTGTTCCCCAGGGAGTGTGACACCTTCCATGAAGCATCTTGGGAGTCTGTCATATCCTTTGGCATAGGGCCTAGGTCCACCTCTGTATGTCTAGGCTGAGAGAGTATCCCTCTACGTGAAATGGGCTCCCAAATTTCATTCCTATTCTGGGAAAAGTAAGGATCTACTACAAGTGTCCCCATAGATTTTCGAGGTCTCTTCACTGACACCCATGTTCATGGGGTCTAGATCAGTTCCATGCTGGTTTCCAAGCTTTCACTTTGAAGGCCAAGAGCTCCCCCTTGTTCAGGTCAGCTGTTTCTGTGGGTTTCGCCAGCCTGGTCTTGTCTACTTTGCTCATCAGTCCTTCTCTCTAATTGGATTCCAGGTCAGGTCGGTGTTTAGCTGTGGATATCTTCTACTTACACCAGCTTCTGGATGAAGGCTATAGGATGGTGTATAGGTTAGTCATCAATCTCATTATCAGGGGAAGGCATTAAAGGTAGCCTCTCCACTGTGGCTCAGATGGTTAGTTGGTATCATTCTTGTAGATCTCTGTACATTTCCCTAGTGCCTGATTTCTCTTTAAATCTATACAGGCTCCTTCTTTAATAGTATCTCTTCTTTGCTGGCCTCTGTTCTTCCCCCT